GGGGTTGTGGGTCTGATCAATCCACAATAAGATAACAGCAGTAATTTGTCTTAGAATTAGAGAAATAAAGATGTATTTTCTTTCACAAAATGTGCATCTACTGATGTGGATTACTAATTATATATAATCTTTGCTTCTTTTTTAGCATTTTTCAACAGTACTAATCAAAGATTTTTCTCCCCAGAATAGCATGATTCTTCTATAGTTTTACAAATGAAGACATGACTCATGTTTGTGTGAGACTGTGCGTGTATGTCTTCCATAGTTTTACAAATGAACACATTACTCATGTTTGTGTGAGATTGCATGTGTATGTCTATACAGATGTCTATCCATACTTCTAAACGTTACAGTGTTTTGAGATTTTTTTGGATAACCTGTTTGTGAAAGAGGGGTGTTAGAGTCTTCCACTGTGAATGTATTGGTGTGTCTCTGTTCTTTTGGCCTTTTACACCTAGTAGTTTCTGTTTCATTGATTGGGTGCACTAGATTTTGGATACATATATTTAAAATTATTTCTTCCTAGTGAACTATTCTCTTTCCCAATATGTAGCGTGATCTTCTTTTGTCTCTTTTGATGATCAGTTTGAACTTGAAGTCTACTTTGTGAGAAATTAGAATCTACAATCAATCTTTCATTTTTTTCTGTACTGGTTACATGGAGAATGTTTTCCCATAATTTCTGCTTTGGTTTACGTTTCTTTGATTTTTAATGGATAAAATGTGCCTATAATGTGCAGCATACAGTTAGGTTTTTTGTTGTTATTTCAGGATGACAGTCTGTGTCATTCATGTTGCTTTGTGAATTTTTCATTGTTGCTTCCTTTCTCTTTCCACTTTGTTTAACTACTCCTCCAGTTTGGTGTGTTATGTCCTTTGTACTGTGGGGATATGTGCCTTGCTGCATCTTTTTAGATTTTTTATGAGTATTATCTGCAGTGCTGGTTTTGGTGGTTGTTGTAGTCAGGGGTTGTGAGGAGAACAATTAGAATCAGGACATGAAATTTATAACATTATTTTATGATGTTCACCCAGAGTTAACACAAGAAAGGGTAGGACATCTATCCACAACACCAAAGACACACAGTATTTAATCAAGAGCCTGAATCCCAGAGCAACGTCCTGTATGAGTTTAGATGAAGACCTGGAGCTCATGACAATGTTTCCCACAATTCCAACTGGAGGTGCAGAGCACAAAAAGAAGAACTCATGCCAGTCTCATTTAGAATCTGTGCTGGGAAGGCCCTAAGGACAGTGGTAAATGCTAGAAAGTCTATGTCAGCAAGGTGAAGGAGCTGTACTGGTATTTGGGGGATTCAATGCTGGAACCTAGAAGTCACACTCAAAACAAAGTTCAGGGCTGTTTTGAAACACACCACAGCCATCCTCAGCAATACAGAGTTCCCATCCCTTTCAAGCATAAGCACATTCCAGTTCATGCCCTAAGGCCATCACAATGAGTTCATCCTGGAGACTAAGCAGCACATGTCTTCCCCTCCAAATCCAAGAAGCAATGCTCAATGTAAGGACCACAGCTTCCCCAGGAGAACCAAATGTTCAAACAGCAAACCTCAGTTAAACCTACAACACCTCAATGTCTGTCCTCTACTTCTCCATGTCTCTATTTATGCTGACAATTTTCCTCAAAAGAAACATCTATGCTCAGCACCATGGTGATTTAATTGAGCTGACATTAAGTTAACCACCAGTTTTTAATCCATAACAATCCACCCCTTGTCAACTTAATAACCTCACACATTTCTTTAAACTATCATCTTTAGTGGCAAATTTGTGAAAGTTACCGTATGTTATCCTATTGAGATTTGCATTAATACAAGAACTATGTATATACAGCTTTTTCTAGACTTATTCCTGCACAAACAATTTTAAAGCGTGACCAAACATCAACAATAAAGACAGTACTTTGATTAATTAACCTATTTACAAACATGTAAGACAACAGTGAAATCAAAGTAAAAGCACAATCACAAGGAGAGTCCTTGTTTTTCATTAACTTTTGATGTAGCATGGCAAGAATAAAATATGAGGATCTGCTGAAATTTAAATATATTCATTTTTCTATTGTCTCATTCTTCTAAGCATTTGATTTCTTCTGTTTCATCTCTACAACCCGCAGTTCTGCTGGAACCTTCTTTCTGGCCAAATGTTCAAATTACTCTCCTGGCTCTTTGCTCCAAATTTCTAACATAGGTCTGGTCACAACCTCACTAAAGTAACCATATCATCCTTCCCAACAGTAGACTTCACTAACATTTTCCATGCATCTCTAAATACAAACAGAATGAAGACCAACTTGCGGCCAAAGCGATATATATATATATTACCTTTACTCCAGCAGTTAGTCATTGAAGTCCCTCTCAACAGAAGTATCTCAAATCTCATCTTAACTGGCAGGATTTCCATCAGTACTATGATTTTTCAGGTTCCAACCAGAGTCTGCAAAAGACTACACAGCATACAGGGACTGTCTTTTTTGCCAGTTTCTCAGAGTCTTTCTAAATTAATTTCCAAGGCTCATAAGTCAAAGATCAGACAACAACACAGCAATGACCCTACTCTCCTGCTAGCAATTTCTGTTGAAGTCAGGGGTTATGAGGAGAACAATTAAAATCAAGACATGGAATTTATAACATTATTTTATGGTGGTCACCCAGAGTTAATACAAGAATGTGTAGGACATCTATCCACAACACCAAAGACACACAATATTTAATCAATTGCCTGAATCCCAGATCAATGTCTCATTTGCATCTAGATGAGGATCCAAAGCTCATGACAGTGCCACCCACAAGTCCAGCTGGAGGTTGAGAATCCACAAAAAATAGTCATGCCGGTCTCTTTTGCACATCTGTGCTGGGAAGGCCCAAAGATCATCAGTAAAAGCTAGAATGTCTATGTCAGTGAATTGAGTGAGCTGTGCTGGTAGGTTGAGGTTTCTCCACTAGTGCTGACAAGTCACACTAAAAACAAAGATGAGGGCTGTCATGAAAGGCACTACAACTTTCCTCAGCGATATGGAGGTCCCCAGGTCCACCAAAGATAAGCACAGGCCAGTACATGCCAGAAAGGCAACATTATGAGTTCATCTAGAAAATTAAACAGCATAGGTCTTTCCTTCTGGTGCCAAAAAGTAATGCTTGATGTAAGGACCAGGGTTTGCCCAGGAAAATCAATGGCTCAAATAGCAAAAGGTAGGATAACCCACAATGGCTCAATGCCTCAATGCCTCTCTTCTCCTTCTCCACGTCTCTAATTATGCTGACAACTTTCCTCAGGTAGTGCATCTAAGCTCAGAAAAAAGGTGATTTAATTCAGCTAGCTTTAAGTTAACTACCACATTTTAATCCATAACAATGGTGATAAATTTATTTAGATTCTCTTTGTTGCAAAAGTTTTCATTATACTATCAACTTGAGAGAGAGTTTTTTAGGGTATCATAATCTTGGAATTTCACTTGACTTATATTTTATAAAAGATAAGTACAACATCTTATTGGCAAAAATAAATGTTCAAGATAGTCTCACTTGAAAAACTAAAAAAAAATAAGTATTGCCTTAAATCAGTTTCTAAATTTGTGAAATGACATAAAAAATATTTTGAGGCATAAGATCTTTAAAGTTATACTGCTATGTTTACTTTTAATATAATCTTACTGTGCTTTGGAATAACTCTTTATGTAATGTCAGAGGACACTAAAAGTGATATCAAAAGTGTGGAAATGGAAAGACAAAAAGAATAAAGTAGAGAAATAATGATAAAACGTGACTTCTTCTAATGCCACAAAATCATATATTTTGTCTCATTGCCACTGGCTTCCTGGAAGAGACTAGTAAACCAGTTAACCGTCCCAATGATCTTAGTTAAAATTCTTAGTAACTCTGTGACTTGGTGATTGAGCAGTTATGAAGAACTACTTACCCAGACTTTTGATAAAGTGCACTGTGCAGAAATTGCAGTCTATTTTACTGTTTTTGCCCAAGAACACTTAGGGAAGATGAAATATAAATTACAAATTTTGGTTCAGTGCCACTGCATTGCTGGAAGAGGCTAAGAAATAAGTGAGCTGTCTCAATGATCCTAGATAAGATTCTTAAATAATCTGTGATTATTAAGAACACTTAGGGCAGATTCAGTATCTCTCAAAGTTAACAGAACAAAGAACTCAAAAGATTAAAATGTCACTCCCCCAAATCTGTAAATGATTTCATTCCAAGCATTGTATTAATCAGGATTGAGGTAGAGAATTTGGGTTTATAAAAACAAAACTTTACTACTCTTATTTATTTAAAGTTTTTTTACCACAGTTACTCAAAATGTTTGTCAAATACACCTCACTTTCTATCTCAGATTGCTCTTTCGCTTAGGCTTTTACATGAAACTAAGAAATTAGGGTAGTTAAAACTTGAGAATTATTTTAATAAAAGGGGCATATTGAATTCCTTTACTAATAAAAACATTTTATTCTGATGTATTTTAGGGATTTTAATTTTTCTGTTAACACTGAATGAGAATTATTCTCAGAGTAAATACCCTCTAAGATGCTAAAATATTCAGTTTATTGTGATGGCCTTTTTTAGCAATCATATCTCATGAAGCTTAAGACAAGCAACAAGTTAATAAAAATCACAAATTAGATTTCCAGTATTCCCACATGGCATCACTCACTATGAAATGTAAAAAGAATACCAATGTTCAGGTGCAATGATTTCTAACCTCGAAATTACAGTCATGCTTTCAAATGAATTACACAATGGGAGATTATGCAACATGCAAAAGTATAGAAAACTTCCCTCCAGGGCTGCTTCTTCAAAGCATAAACAATTAACTGACCATCATTATGGGAGTGGAAGAGGTATATACATTTTTGGATATAACATGTGGAAAAAAAACAAAGTCAAATATTTTAAACAGAATGTGTTAGATCTTTATTTAATATGGGAAAATCATAAATATTTCTCTTCATTGCTAACAGTCCATACATTAAGGATTTTAAGATTGCAGCAATAAAATGGATTTTCTTTCTGCCTGACCACTATAGCCCCTAAGAAGACTTTCCGATTATCTTGAGAAGCATGATACTCTGCAATAAAGTCTTTGAGATCTTTAAGAAGCTTGTCACCTATTTCTTGTAAATTTTGACTCAGTGAAAACTGTATAGGCCTTTCAAGTGAAGGATCCTTTTCAATCAACTGTCTTACCACCATCCCATAAGTTTCACTGTATAGTTGGTAAAGGTCTTCAATCTCTTTGACTTTTGAGTCTATTGATTTAAAGGAACTGCCGAGCTGACTATCTTCAGATCCTTCTGTGCTGTCTTCTGCATCTGCTGGTGGCGGGACTGGATGCTTCCTGAATAATTGTCTTGTAAGTTCTTCCTCAAATTCAGAGATGCCGCTTTCCTGTGATGCCTCAGAGGTTTGGGCAGCCCACGCCCTTACAGCTTCACAAAGCTCCTTTTCAGTTAGCCTGCTGGATTTATCTTCTAACACCTTTGATGATGTAGCTGGTTCAGAATTTCAGAGAGAAATGCATCTTGATGTGTCTAACTTCAAGACCCTTTTTTTTTCCACTTCTATGCTGAAGCTGTTCAACAGAGTAATTTTCTCCTTGGACTGGAGTGGCCCTCCTGCTACTGACAGGAGAAGCTTCTTGGCCTGAGAGTGACTCTCCAAAAAATGTAGGAATCTTTGTATGAGGAGACTGGTCTTTGGTATACTTGGAAGCGTAGAAACTTTGTCTTGTCCAGCTCTCTCTCTCGTCTCTGTTATAACTCTGGGGGCTTGCAGAAGGATTGTATCTTGACCATTGATTGCCAGCTTCATCTCCTTTCTGAGGTTGAACACTTCTTTGAACAGGAGCAGATGTTAGGCCCTTGTCATATTCTTGGTGACAGGCAAAACTGCTTCCTTCACCAGGACTGTCTAGCAGTCGTGCTTTCTCCCCACACAGCGGTGGTGTCTTTCGTAGTGGTCGTTGGCTTCCCAGCTGTGGTGGCTGCCTTGGCACATTGTTAAATATGCTAAGGTAGCGTTCCCTGGGAAGACTCTGAGGTTGTCTTCGTTTTCTGGAAAGTCTTTGGTGGTCATGTGGTCCGTTAGACCACAT